AGTCTATCACAGAAGTGAGTACACCCCTTCACATTTTGTAAATATTTAAGTATATTTTTTTAATGTGATAACACTGAGGAAATGATACTTGGCTACAATGTAAACTAGTGAGTGTACAGCTTGTGTAACAGTGTAAATGTGCTGTCCCTCAAAATAATGCAACATGCAGCCATTAATGTCTAAACTGCTGGCAGCAAAAATGTGTGTGTGTGTACGTGTGTGTGTGTGTATGATACAGATTGTTTAAATAGTTTTTGAAACTTTGAGCATATGTCAGGCAGAATGCACAGAACCTGGCCAGAATGCCTTCCGACATATAATCTTACCTCACTAATAATTTTGCTAACCTGCTACAAGGCTGTAAAGGCATTTTGCCAACCTGCTATGCAGCTTAATACAATCCTCCATTGAAGTGCTGACATTTTTAGCAGGGTCGCTCTCCCTCCCTACACCATTCCATTTTTCTGATATGTTAGTTATATATTCATTTGAAAGCATCCCTTTTCTTAATAATATGCATACTGATGGATCTCTGATTTTGCAACCTAATTGGGGAGGTATCTATTTTGTCCCAAACAAGGCAGATAATTAAATTATATTTTAGTCTCCTTAATACACTAGAATGGTGGTCATCAACCTAGGTATTTCCCAAATACGGGCACGAAAATCATAGGGAAAGGATTGGGAGGCGCAATGTTGTCTACGCATCGCTTTAAAATATATATGGCTTCCCCTCCACCCCCTGGCCAGCACCATCACTCTCTTTTTATTGGATCTGCCACAGGACCCAGCCGGACTATTGATTCTGCAGATTGTGCCAGTTTTGTATTGCAAGGTCACCCTTAATTGCATCCCGGCTGACGTCTTCTCTAGACCACACCACCTCCCCCCCTCTTTAGATTTCCAATTCTTCCATCTGCTTGCTTTCATAAAGCAAGCTCGCTGAAGAGCAGTCACTTTCGGTAGGCTGCAAAGGCAAAACGTTGCCAGAGATTCTTCCGCTGCTGAGCCTTTCCACCAGAGAACAGGAGGGAGTGGAAGAAGACTTGATATCCAGTTCAGGAAGCTAGCTTTTGTTTTTAGACCACAGCAGGGTGTCAGGCCTGAGGGGCCCTTTCCTGCTCAGATATCATGTATTCATATGCATATGGCAGCTGCCTTAGCCACAATCTTGTCATTTCTCCAAATCCTTGGAGACTTTGCTGTGTCAGAGTGAGGAGTCCCTTTTCCTGTTTCTGACAGTGATGGCATTTGTGGTGCTGTGCCCTCTAGACACACCTGCCCCGAAGGGACAGAGCTGACATGATTCCTTTTCTTGTTCCTCTTCACAGAATACAATAACCTGAATGCCAAGTGAGCAGCAGGGGTATTTCCCCTCCTCTTTCCCCCCCCTCTCTCATCGGCTCTTCTTTGATGCAAGACAGTTAAGTAGGCGCTTCTTCTGCCACTTCCCAGTGGAAGATTAATACAGCACTCAGCTTCTCCATATGCTTTGCATCGAGAGCAGGGCAGCCTTTTCTAAATTGCTCAGAATAAATCTGAGTTCACCAGAACACTGTGTGCCTAATTTTGTTAGCCAAATAAAAGGAAAGGGGAGCAAAAGTCAAAGAGGGATCATGTAGGACTAAGATATCAGCCCTGCAATCAGGGGTGAAATTCAGCAGGCTCTGACAGATTCTGGAGAACCGGTAGTGGAAAATTTTAGTAGTTCAGAGAACTGGCAAATACCACTTCTGGCGGGCCCCAGAGAGGGGTGGGAATGGAGATTTTGCAATATCCTTCCCCTGCCACATCCACCAAGCCATGCCCACAGAACCGGTAGTAAAAAAAAAATGAATTTCACCACTGCCTGCAATAATCCAGATGACCACTAAATAAAAGAGCTTATTCTCTGAAGTGATTCAGTGATTGCCTGGATCTTTCCCCCACCCCAACCAATCCTCTATATTTTACTTCTAAACCTGCTTCAAATTCTTCAGTTACTGTGCAGGACAAATGGTTAATTTATAACCAGAGGTCTTCCAGGAAATCTCATATCACTGAGTCAATGGGATTTTTTTTTCTTTTACTGAGTTACCTGAACCACCTAAGCCCTGCACTAAATGGAATAAATCTAATTAGGCAGAAAGAGCTGTTCACAGAATAAAACCAGTATGGATTCCAGCACTAAAGCTGAAGATTTAGCCAGGCTTTGCAGTCTGCAATACCTTTTGTAAGTCTGATGTTTTTTTTTTTTAAAAAAAGACCCAAAACACTTTCTGATAATCAGGAGACCTGCAGAGTGATCTGTCTACAGAAGTCAGACTTTGTGTTAAACCTTCATGCTTTTTATTTGATTTTTTTACTTAACAGAACCTGCTATGGTGGATTATGTTTCCTCTAAGTTGTGTGTATGTGTATCTGTATGTGTGGTGGGTGGTTTGCAGTCACATGCTACCTATCAAATCCACCTGCACAATAAAAAATGTAGGCATACACAAAATTAAGTTAAGCCAAAATTAAAAATAATAAATTTAGGCCTCAGAAAATCCCACACAAGCTTGCTGCTTCGGCTTATTTTTATTTATTTATTTGTTAGATTTTTATCTCGCATGTATTCATTTATAAGTAACTCCAGGTAATGGACATACCTAATCACAGGTAGCCCTCATGGGGTTTGAATGACCTCCGGCAAAAGACCCTCCTCTGTCGTAGAGCACTGCTCAGCTGTCACACAGTCAATTTGACCCATTGCAGATCTGGATGTGGTACGGCCCCCTGGTATAGCAAGGTCCTAGAGAGGGGAATCCTTCTCTCTCTCCCCCCCCNTGTCATCGTTTCCATCAGCAAGGATCAAGCGTAGGTCTTTTTTTTTTAAAAAAAAAAAAGGATGCAGTTCCTGATGCTTCACTGAACTTTGAGCGAACAGTTCCCCATTTAATTTCACTTTTAGCAATACGGTGAACTCTTTTTAGAAGTCTTGATTTTCCTGTTTTGTTTCTGGAGTGACAAAAGAGCCAGGATGGCGGTACATGTCTGTACTGCATGACCGAGCAACCAAAATATATCTCTAAATGTAGCATCGTCATTTGCATGGAGAAAAGTTTCCTCCACCGCGTTCTTCTCATAAACGCCTGTTATTAGCACTGTCCCAGAATAAGTTTCTAGAGCAAAGGTGGGTCAATTAGGGCACCTTTGCGACCTGTGGACTTTTAACTCCCAGAATTCCTGAGCCAGCACATCACCTGTGAGTTTTCCTGCCCGTCCACATCCATTTAAATCACGATCTGCCTCTCCTATTTGCCTATGAAATATTCTTCTTACTGCTCGTACATATGGATTATCATTTGGTGTTTTTTTAAAAAAAAAACATTTGAATGCTGTCCCTTGTTCTTCTTTGCCCAGGTATAACTTGAATGTCAACAGAAGTAGTATGGGTAGTGGTACTGAGCATTCTTTAAGATGAAAATTTGTGGTTAATCTCTGCCCATAAATGAATCCAATCGAAAAAGTGTAATTTTGATGTTGGCCCTATAGAAATTTACAATAATTAGCCACAGCATCAGCCCTCCGTTCCTTTCAGTTGATTTTGAATGCCATGAAATTCACCGAGGGTCATTAAATTCAGCGTTCGGTATCAAGCGTTTCATCTTGATACTTAAAATAACTATTATTATTTCTCTTACCCAGTTCCTGGGGGAAAATGGCCCCCATAATTTGCAGATTTTCACACAAAAGTGCTTAGCATCTCTAAAACGCTTTGAGGAAAAAAAACAAAACCCCCTTGAAGATTTTCCAATATAAAAACACACGTCAGTTAAAATCAAACGTGCTACCTCCAACTTTGCTTAACCTCGAATCTTTTCCCTTCCAATTCTTGTAGCATGACCTTAACCAGGACTTCTTAATTTCCCTTCTCACTGTTCTCCAGTTCTCCGCACAACATCAAGTACATGATCAATGGTAAATAGCAGTCATCGCCAAAACGACACCTGAAGACTGCACTGTTTTTCTGGCAAAAAAACATTTCCGCCATCTTTTCCGAGTTTCCCATCCAATTAAAGTGGGAATTTTAAAAAAAACAAAACCCTGCCTTTTCATCTGTTTGCTCTTGTCACAGCAAGCGTGCTAGATAAACTGGAGATGGTGATTGTTCATCTCAGGCTAAACTTTTTCACGCAGTCTTCAGAGCTCCTTTGCCCACCTTCTCTTTCTGGTTCTATAAACATCACCACTAAATGTTTGTCCATAATTAATCTCACGTGTTTGTATCCTCAGATGAGATGTTAATGTTGCTGTTTAAAATATTCTCATATCCCTAGAATAAGTTTTGAGAATAAAACTTTGGGTTCAGCAAAATACAAAAAGTGGCTTTTTTCAGTCCCGGTTTTAAAAAAAAATCTTTCTTATTCCAGAAAGGGCCTATTAAAACATGGCATACAAAATGGCTATGACGCATAGGTAAAATTGCCAGTTACTTGAAATGGTTGACTGCCATTTAGATAAATTAGATCTAATTACATAAATTTGGGCATCGGTGCCTATGGAATTTTCCATAAAGCAAAATTGCAGCCTCAAAAGAAATTTGAGTTTCTGTCCAGAAAGAACATGGAATGACCCGTAATGATAGCCTTGTTGAATTAAGCCATTCTGTAAAAGTGCCAGTACATGTAAAGCATTTATAAAATCTAAATAAGGTGCTCATTTTAAAAAAAATTGCTTTGCAGTGGAGTATCTGCTCCTTCACATCTGTTTACTTTTAAACTATTTCAAATCTGAGAAAAGAAACCAGAGTTCCTGTTGGGCTGTTCTTTGAGACTCCCAATTGCCATTATTAAATAATTTCCACGTGTGCATATTTCTAAAGATCACTTTAGATTCCAAAATCTCATTTGCGTATGTTAACCAAATATTTCACAAGCAGTTTCTCATAGATACACACCTGAGGTTGCCTTGGAATTGTTGTCGAAATGGAAGCAACTTAAACGTTCTATGTCCTTATGCGATTCAATCACCCCAAGTGTTTGCGAGAGTTAAACCCAGGTAGCTACAATCCAGTCCAGTTAAGTGAGCTTAACTTATGTGGAAATTCATTTAAACAAGGGCTTCACCAGTCAGTTTGATAATAGTGGGAGAATTTTGTGTTTCCCACCAAGGAAGTTTAGCCCCAAACCTCTATACCTATAATACGGAAATGTAGATGTAGAGACCTGATTTTTCCAGCCTGTCACTCTCCAGAATTCTCAATCAATTCTGAAAAGCATATCTAGAGGATGCCCTATTGATAAACATCACTGTCTGCAGAGGTCAAAGTCTAAAATCATAAATTGTAGGACACTCATAAATCATAGGACACTGTGTGACCCAATCAGCTCTCCTTTATTTGCTTCAGATTTAACTTCAACTTTTCTGTAAGCATTTCAGATAGGAATTGTATAGCCCACATAGAGGTTCTTCTCTGTATGCCTGGACATTTTATGAGTGCTTAAATCTACATTTCATAAAGCAAGGACCCCTCTGTTTCAGAATGACTTGGCAGAAAAGCACACCATTAAATCTTATCTCAATATATTCAGTGAATTTTCTTGCCCGCACAAAAAAAAATATGACCCCCTTACTCAGGACGCTGGCACTAATAATATATTTTCTGAATTACTTGTAAAATAACCTACTTCTTTGTTTTTTTTTTCTTTTTCTTTTCTTTGTTTGTTTTTTCCTTCAAGGGAATATTCAACAGCCATAGGCCATCGGTTGCAGGATCATGGCCTTGTGGTGGAAATGATATACCTTACTTCTGAATCAGGTCTCACACGTGCCCTCCAAGAAGTTAAAAACGATGGTTCTCCATTTTGCGTTCTTGTTGAACCATCTAATGTAACACTTTCCTCATGCACCGTAATCATGCTTCATCAGACTATCAAAAGTAAGTTTAGCTTACCTTAAGAAACTGGTCCCCATTCAGAAAATGCTCTCTCTAGATCCATCCCTCCTCATATTAAAACACATCCAAACCATCCTCTTTGAGACATGATTGAGCCGTAAAATAATGGATTAAGAATTCATAGCCGTACACCGCTACCGCACCTAACAAAATGTACTTCATCCCGAAATTTTACCTTTTGTAAGAACAAACTGTTTGTAGTGGCCCTTTTTTTCCTTGCATTTAAAAGGAACACAACAACCTCACTTACATCTCAAAACTCTATTCCTCTTTCCAGAGGTGTGTTTTATAAAACTAGTCCCACTCAGGAAATTAATTCAACACACAAAGCAGCTTCGAGTTGAGTCACCCACGACATGTCATAGAAACGGGCGTGTTTTGTGTTGAATCTTGGCCGTAACCACGTTCAGTTAAAAGTTTGGCGTCCGAAGGTCGCTTCGGTGGAAGGACGCGGCGGTTTTGTGTTTGGGTTTTTGTTTTTCTGGGGGGGGGGGGCTCTGGATGTGATTTTTTAAAAAGCAAGGTGTCTCTCTTCTCTGTAGTCCACCGTAATATGCCCATGGAAGATGCCCTGGCTCTGATAGCTAAAGAGTTTGAGGAAATTTTTGCAGAGCATGAACAACAGCAGCGCACAGAGATTTCCCACAAAGCAGCTGATCTGGCGGATGGCTTTCTAGAGCGGGAGCTTTATGAGAGCTACCATGTGCCTCTAGGCATTAGAAACCTCCTCTTTCTGTTAAGTGAGGGAAAGCATTTGTATATGGAAGAATTGAACACAATAAGTGACTACCTGAAGACCAGGAGAAATAAGCTTGAAGGTATTCATGTTTCCCCCCAATCCCTCTTTTCTTCCTCGACAATAACCTCTAAATCCCACCCACAATCTCAAAATAAGCTTGGGGGGGAGGGGGGGAAATCCCATCCTCCCTCAAACCGGGGTTGGGGGGGGCGGAATCCACACTTCGTGCATGAACGGTTAAAAACGAGACTTTCTGGAGAAGGGCTGCAGCTTAATCGCCCGTAATTTGTGGGTAACGGCTCTGCCTCTAGGAAGCGGGGTGGCCACTTAAAAGATTCCCTGCATCTGTCCCCAGCTCATCTTTATCCCAGATTCCTTAACATTTCTCCTTTCTTTCCGCCTTCAAATAAAGTCCCTTCCAGGTGAGTAGGGAACTTGTCATCCCTATTCGCGGGGCATTGGGAGAAATGCCGCCTGTCCCGAGTGCATGGGATATATGGCTCTTTAGGGCAAAAATGTTGTCCACTCTATTGTGGCTCAGATTGGAGAGCCTCTCCCCCACTTTAGGAGACCACAAAGCACCCTACTTGATGAGCCCCAAATTTGCCCCCACGCCCCCCTACAAAAAAGTTGCTTTCATCCGGCTGTCATAATAAAAGAGTAAACTCCCCCCCCCTTCTTCGCCTCTGTACCGCCGTCCGATAAGTCACATTTCACATGGCGAAAGGCCATTGCGAGGTATAATTAGAGCAAGTGGAAAAAAAAATATGTAACACTCGCGGGGAAAAAAGAGATACCCTCCCTAACTGCTTTCTATGATAAAAGCCAATAACACTACCAACGTACTACATCAAATCACTTCCGTGACTCCTATAAAAATGACTTTCCCATCTCACGTCCTTAAAATTTCCTAAGCCGCCGTATCCCTGCGTAAATGGACTGGCTGGAAAAAAAAAAAAAAAGGACATTAAAATAAGGCAGCCAGGCTGACTCCTTGGCTAGCGGCAAGTCTTGCTAATCGATTGTTTCCTTGGTAACTTTGGGCTGTCCTAATCCAGGTTTTGTTGCAGAAACGAATACTTTAGCCGCCGCAGGTGAAGACAGCGAGTATCCAAACGCCAGGCCGAGTGGGAGCGCTCTCCCCCCGACGCTAAGCAAGCCGCCCCCTCTGCTGCCAACCCCTGGCCGAACTCCTGCCTTAGGGCCGTCTGCTGCGCCCCCGCCTAAGCCGGCTTTGTTGGGCAAAAGACCGCTGGGGGCTCTTCTTCCCACTCCAGGTTGGTCCATCAAAATAGAACAGTTATAGTGGTGGCATGGAAGAAGACCGTTGTTGTTTCGAGAGTTTAGCGACCTATTTGGTTTTATCCAATTAAATATCCTTATCCTAAGGCTATTAACCCATGTAGAAGGGCTGTGTAATATTATCCTTCTCGTCTTTTCTATTACCTTTTCCTATTTGTATCTTATGATTTATCACTTTGTTGTTTGTATGTGTGCTGAGAGTTTATGCAGCGGAGACAAATTCCTTATATTTCCAATCACACTTGGCCAATAAAGAACTATTGTGTTCTACTCTACTCTATTATGCTATTCTATTCCATGATTCTACTCTACTCTGCTGTTCTGTTCTGTTCTATTCTATTCCATGATTCTACTGTACTCTAATCTGCTCTGCTCTGTTATGCTATTTTATTCCATGATTCTACTCTACTCTGCTGTTACGTTCTGTTCTATTCCATTCCATTCCATGATTCTACTGTAATCTGCTCTGCTCTATTATGCTGTTCTACTCTATTCCATGATTTTACTCTACTCTGCTGTTATGTTATGTTCTATTCCATTCCATGATTCTACTCTACTCTAATCTGCTCTATTATGCTATGCTATTCTATTCTATTCTATTCCATGATTCTATTCTAATTATTCCACTCGATTCTCCTTCGTACTAAGAAAAATGTAAATGTTTAGAGCTAATTTTCTTGTTTGCTAAATAGTGGTTAAGACACCTGGACCAGAAAGCAGGAGACTGGGAATTCTAGTCCCTCCTTAGGTATGAAAGTCAGCTGGGTGACTTTGGGCCTGTCACTCATTCTCACCCGACCTATCTCACAGGGTGGTTGCAGTGTGGAGAAGAGGAGGAGGAGGAGGAAGGCATGCTGGATATGTTCGCCACCTTGTGTCACTTGTAATAAAAATAATAAAAAGAACTCACTATATTATTCCTTATGGGAAACATTCGGTTGGTTCTCATCACGCCTCCCAGAAGCAGTTAACAATGAATACTAAGGTACCACTGTATCAGAACCAGTTAACAATGAGTATGTCAGGTTTCCAAGTAATACACCCATAACAAACAGAACTCCAAGGCAGGTGGATTCCTCAAAGAACAGTTTTATTGGATCTATCATATTGGCACAGGCTGGTGAAAACCGACTAAAGATTCCCGCGGTTTTCACCTAATTGAAAGTTTTCCCGTTTTCTCAAACAACCAGTCACGTGGTCTAATCAGGGTGCTGTCCAATTGCTTTGTAACATCACTCCTCCTCCTCCTCTCTTCAGCCACCTGTTGGAATGTCCTTGGTTCCCAAGGGAAAGTCTTTTGTTTTGGCTACAAACGCCCAGCTTTCTCTTATTTCCTCCTCCTTAACCCTTATCTCCATTGTGGCAACACTGAAGCCTCAAAGATGGCCTCGGTCAGGCCAACTTCAGAGTTGACAAGAGTACTGAGGTGCCACGTTATCAAAATCCTCTTTTCTGTTTTTCCTCCAAAGCAGTGCTGCCTGGGCCGCAGGGGAAACCTCCCCCTCTTCTCACCAAGGTCATCAAAAGGCCGATGCATGTAGCTCCTCCACATCTCCCCGCAAAGCGACCACTGCTCGGGGGCAGACCTGGCCTGCTACCTACACCTACCTACAGGTGAGAGCTGGATGATGCCTGATGCTTCATGCCTAAGTCTGAAAGAAGATAGTGTTGTTGTTGTTGTTGTTGTTGTT